AAGTTTTATTTACATTTTTTTAAAAAATCTCTACATTTACTATTTGAAGATTTTATATATAATTTATATATAAATCTCATATAACCTGCATCATGTAGCTCTTCAGATGACTGGTGAATTATCTATTAAAATAAATTAATTATTTACCACTTGGAAACTATGAAATATCAGGTAGCTTTTAAATATATTCTATAACTACCTAACAAGCTCTATAAGTTTTTTCTAATAAAAGTTCAGGACTTGGATCTGAATTTAATTCTTAACTCCTATTTATTTCAGATATAGCATTGTTTATGCAATGAGAAATAAATAAACTATTTGTATTATCTTCATTATGATCATTATTATTAGCAGTTTCAAGATTTGAATTGTTATTCCAAAAGTCTTCAAGTTGTGAAGTAGAGTATTTTTTGTAGATATTAATTGGTGATTCGTTAGTCACCTGGTGCATGATCATAGTGTAACATGATGCAGATCACTATGTAAATCACATATATCCCAAATGTGGTGTTCACCCAACTTTTTTTCGTACTAAGTTAATCGCTCATCTGTATTAAGTCAAAATTGTAAAGCTCATCAAGGCGCATCTAACAGTGGTTAGATCATCCAAATCGGCCCAGCTGATAGCGAGATATCGTCGAAAAACAATTGACCGACTATGTAAAATTTCTATGTAAATAATAGTTTGTTTATATAGAATTTTACATAGTTGACCAATTGTTTTTCGACGATATCTCGCTATCGGCTAGGCCGATTTGGATGATCTAACCACCGTTAGATGCGTCTCGACGAGCTCTACAATTTTGACTTAATACAGAAGAGCGATTAACTTAGTACGAAAAAAGTTTTCCTTGGGCGAACGCCATATTCGAGGTATATGTGATTTATATAGTGATCTGTATCACGTTATACTATGATCATGCACCAGGTGACTGACGAATCACCAATTAAAATAATAAGCATCATTCAGTATAGAAGTCATTTCTAAATGTTTTGCCAAATGAATGGCTCTTTTATAGCCAGTATTAATTGTATCATCGATTTCAATATCAGATGGCCAATAGTATAAGCATTTAAGATTATTATCTAAGAAAGTAATTTCTTTATATTCATTAAAATTGTAGTCTAGAATAAGCTTCAAATCATTAAAATAATAATATATTGAGATCTATATAATTAATTATTAATATATTATATTTACCTTTATATACTTTTTTTTTTTTTCTGAATAGTAAATGTTCTGATTAAATAAATCTAAAATATTAACTGATTTTTAAAACTATTTGTAAAATTTTTAAAAAGGTAAAATCTGATCGAAACTGATGAGCAACTTCAAAGATATATCTACAAGATTCAGTACTATGTTTCTATAGCAATAAAGATATATTTTCATAATAATCTCTATGAATCTTGATTAAAAGAATCAAAGATTTAACTAAACTAATCATAATATTAAAAATTTGTATTGCCAAAAAGTTTTTTAAAATAGAAACAAAAGAAAAATGAGATGTGCTAAAAGTTTTAATAAGATATTTCTATAGATATAAAAAAATATGCTGTTATAGCCATTTCACCTCTTTCTTGATATGTAATACAGCAATTAAGATAACTATCAATAAGTTCATCTAAAATAAATAAAATCTAGTTAATTTAATACTATAAATATACTAAATTATAAAAATCTTAAAATTAATATACTCATAGTGAAAGATATATAAATAAACCTTGTAGTTCAGATAATAAAGCCTCTTCATTATCTAATACTTGAGCTAAATTATTTGAACAAAAAACTCTATATGCGATATTATCATCTTGATAATCTAACTTTTTTATATCTTGTTTATACATAACACTATCTTCCTTGAGAGATAATTCTAACAGATGATCAAAATAGACTATAGAATTTTCAAATGTAAGCAAATGAGCATCTGACATAGTAGTATTCTTTGCTGTTTTTTTTCATACTTTGGATTTTGAATATAGATTACAGGCCTAATTTTGGAAAATATAAAACAGTTGAAATTAATACCAAATTGAAGATTTTGGTATTGAACTCGGTATTTGGTCTTAGTTGCTTGTAATAAATTCTGTGCTTGAAATTCAGTAATAGTGCTATCTAATCTAATAGATATTATGTATAGTTCAAGATTTGTTGCGATTTCTATAAGCTTTTGATAAAGTGCAAAAATTTTTTTACCATTATCATTTATATTTGAAATTAATACCACAATTACAGGTGAAAATTTTGAAAGAGAAACCTAATAATTGAGTAAATCAATTTAAATAAAAGATTTTAATAAAATTTAAATTATTATTGATTATTATCTGAAAAACATAAATTCTAATATATTTTGCAATTGTATTTTCCTGCTTTATATTAGAAACCTTATCATATATATCATCATAAGTTTTAATTATACAATCATTTTGGTTTAAGGTTGATCCAACAATGCAACCTAAACTTGAAAAAAACTGTAACCCAGATTTTACTTTTGTACAATCAGTCATAGTTACAACAGGATCTTTATAGTGCAAAGTATCCAAAAGTTTTTTAAAACGTACAACATTTTTATAACAAAGATCAGAATTATTAATAGTATTATTTGAAATACTTCTATAATGCCTATAAATAATAAAGTTATTTTTATTACTGCAAAAAAATATTAGCTGCTAATAGATAACTAGTATGTATTAAATTATAATTACTTTACTGTTCAAATGGTTATATCTGTCAAATTCTAACAAAATAAATCTAATGTTTTTAAACTGACACTTTCCAAAATTACAAAAAAATTTAAAAACTTATTTAAATATTTAAGGTTCTATAAACCTTTATCTTGTTCTTCATATTTTGTAGCTTGTAACATGATATAGCAAAGTCTTTTAAAAACTGGTTTTTGCTCAAATATGTTATGAATAGCTTTATCAACAAATTTTGCCCAAAATTTTTTTGATGATAAATTCTCATCAAAAAGAATATTATGCAATTGCTTAATATAATTATTTTTTAAATAAGATAATAATAGATTATTATTATAATAAAATTTTGGTGTATATTTAGTGTTTTCTGAATCAGGTGTGATAACTCTAACACGATTTATAAAATATGGATTATTATAAAGAAGAGAATATGATGAATATGTCTGTCCATAAGTCTTTCTTTCACAATTAACAGATCAAATATATATCTCTGCAAATTATAAAACCAAATAATTAAAATTTTAAGTAATTAACAACTTTGACTCTACTAGAATTAATTTATTAAAGCAATCAATAAACTATTCTGATTCAGTTATTATTTGTTGATTAAATTGTATTGCTTCTTCTTCATTAAGCTTTTTGAAATTAAATTTCATTTCATTTGAAAATTTATCTTGAAATATTTCTTTTTTAATTATATCATATCATCATATATCTCCATATGTGAATAGTGTTTTATTAATATAAGAACTAATTTGTTCAGAATATAACCCAGAGCAAGATTTATTTGGTAGAGTTAACAATGTCGGTGATAGGGATGAAGGAGAAGAATTTTTTTTTTTTTTTAGATTAGGCAAGATCAAGAAAAGTTTAGATAAGCCAAGTTGCCTTTTCTTATTATTTACTTTATATCTTAAATTTTTAGAATATTTATTAAATCTTGACTCATCATAATCATTATTAAGAATAATTTTTGTATATACACACAAAATACTATACGTTTATTAACAATAGCCCACAAAACTTATTGTTAACTAAGTGAGCTTGAGTATATTTCCACTTCATTTATTAAAAAAAAGAGTAATTACGTGCTTAGCCAGGTTTTATTCTTTTTTCACGTTTGTAAAAATGCCAGGTTCTTAGCCAATTAAGCTAACATGCATGTATATACATATATACAAAAAGGTCTACTAATCTTACTATTGGTCATGCACAGTATTATCAAATATCTTGCATATTGGTAATTGTCATATCACTTTATTATATAATTTATTACATGATGTAATAAATAATATATTAAATAAATATGACAATTACCAATATACAAGTTATTTGACAATACTGGTCGTGTATAAATTATATTTCTGATTAAAAAAAAATCACTTATTTTTGAATATCAAAATTTTGTATAAAAAATTACCTTTGTGTACTAACTAAAAAAAATTCCTTGCAAGTGATATATAATTTGTTATGAATAATTTCAGACAATAGGAACTTGAAAAAAAAATTAAAAATTCTGTACGAAACCTAAATTGCTTTATATGTAGAAAAAATTTGACTAAGATAAGCTAAATTTGTAATAGCTTATTTAGTATTTACAAAATAGTTGCTATTATTTTTACTGATATTTATTCTCAATATGTACAAGTTTATGCATTATCTCTAGAGAGAATATAATTTTTAATATAGTATTTATCCTTCTCAAAAAAGAGATAATTTAACAAAAAATAAATATAATGATACAAAAATCTAACCATTTTGACAAAACTAAAAATAGAACTATTATCTAAATTGATCTTAATTTGCTAAAATTTAAATTGTTCTTTAACCAAATTTGGTCAAATTTGCTAAAAAAAAATATGACCTGTATTATAGATGTTTGGGATCCTATTTGAATATTATTTGATTTGATTTGATTTGATTTGATCAAATCAAATTAAAATTAAAATTTTATTTGATTTGATTAATATTTGATTTGATTTGATTCAACTTTAAGAAACTCTACTAGAAGATAGAGATAGAAATTAGCTATATAATTTAGTCAACAAATTAGTTAAATATAGTATTATAGAACAGTTTATTATTTAATTAGTTTATTATTTCGATATTGTATTTTATTATTTATTATTTTATTATTTTA